ACCTTGGCCAGCACCACACAAGAAACCCCAGAGCCTGCGTACCCAGTGGACAGCTACACACCACACTGGAGCATCAGCACCTTGCCCCTGAACAGCTGATCCTCTGTGGAGGGCAGAGGTTGGTGGTCAGTGGCCATAGCCAGTCCTTGCAACTGACTGGCCTGTGTGAATCTTTCCCATTGACCCTCTAAGACTAATCAAGGCTCAACTACGAGAGGAGGGCGTACTCAGCCCACACAAAAGGAAGACCTTGAGTACCCAGCTTGGGTGATAGGGGAGGCTTTGCCACTGGACCCTACAGGACACCTACTGCATTAGACCATAGTACCAAGACACAGAGTCAAAGCAGCTCTACCTAATATATAGAAACAAACACAAGAAGGCTGCCAAAATTGGGAGACAAAGACACATGGCCCAAATGAAAGAAAAGATCAAAACTTCAAAAAAGAGCTAAACGAAATGGAAATAAGCAATCCATCATATGCAGAGTTTAAAATATTGGTTTTAAGGAAGCTCATGGAACTTAGTGAGGACCTCAACAGCATAAAAAAGATCCAGCCAGAAATGAAGGATACACAAATTAAAATAAAGAACAATTCACAGGGAAACAACAGTCGAGTGGATGAAGCCAAGAATCAAATCAATGATTTATTTGAAACAAAAGGAAGCAAAAACAACCAATCAGAACAAGAAGAAAACAAAATCCAAAAATAATGAGCATAGTGAGTGTGAGCAGCTTCTGGGACAACTTCAAGCGATCCAACATTCCAGAAGAAGAAAGGAAAGAGCAAGAAATTGGAAATCTATTTGAAAAAATCATGAAAGAAAACTTCCCTAATTTGGTAAGGGAAATAGACATGCAAGTCCAGGAAGCAGAGAGTCCCAAACCAGATGGATGCAAAGATGCCCACTCCAAGACACATCAAAATTAAACTGCCAAAGGTTAAGGATAAAGAGAGGATCTTAAAAGCAGCAAGGGAAAAGCAGAGAGTTACCTACAAAGGGGTTCTCATAGACTGTCAGCTGATTTCTCAAGAGAAAATTTGCAGGCAGGAAGAGACTGGCAAGAAGTATTCAGTCATGAAAAGCAGGGACCTACAACGAAGATTGCTCTACCCAGCAAAGCTATCATTTAGAATGGAAGGGCAGATAAAGAGTTTCCCAGACAAGAAAAACCTAAAGGACTTCATCATCACCAAATCATTATTATATGAAATGTTAAGGGGACTTATTTAAGAAAAAGAAGATCAAAACCATTAACAATTAAATGGCAACAAATACATATCTATCAACAATTGAATCTAAAAACTAAGTGAAGAAGAACAGAGACAGAATCATGGATACAGACAGCATTTTGATGTTTGTCAGATGGGAGGGGGGTGAAGAGGTCAGGGGATTAAGAAGTACAAATAGGTAGTTACAGAATAGGCATGGGGATGTAAAATGCAGTACAGGAAATGGAGTAGCCAAAGAATCTATGCATTAACCATGGATACGAACAATGGCGTGGGGATTGCCTGAGGAAGTAGAAGGTGCTGGGTGGAGGGGGCAAAGGAGGAAAAATTGGGGCAACTGTAATAGCATAATCAATAAAATATAATTAAAAAAAGAAATTCTAGATCTGAGAAGAATTAACATCTTTAAAATACCAAGCCTTCTAATCTATGAACATGAATTTATTTATCTAATTTCTGTTAATATTTTATAGTTTACAGAGGTTCTTGTGACTATTTTGTAAGATTTTTTTCAAGGATCTGATGTGTTTTATATTAAATATACTTTCTATTTTAAAATTTCACTTCATATTTTCTTGGTGACATATAAAATACAATTAATTTTTATATTAACTTCGTATCTAATAACTTTGTTAAATACATTTGTTTGTAGATTATTTTGAATTTTCTACATACAAAATCATGTCTGCAAATAATATCAATTTATCAGTTTTATTTCTTCCTTTCCAGTATCTATACTGTTTATTTCCTTTTCTTGCACTTTATTTCACTGACTAGGACTTAACAGCAAAAAGACAAATAGAAGTGATGATAGTGGTTATCCCAGCCTTCTGGATTTCAGGGGTAAAACTTCTGATAGTTCACCATTAAGTATGATTTTGTTTTAAGATTCTTGCAGATACTCTTTATCAGATTAAAGAATTTACTTTATAATCCCAGTTTGTTTAGGTTGCTGATTATCATGAATACACACTGAATTTCCTCAAATGCTTGCATCTACAAAGATTACCATTTGGTTTTCTTCATATATTTTGTTAAGGTGGTGAATTACATAGACTGCTTTTCAAATATTAAATACCCTTGCATTTGGGAATAAATCCTACATGGTCATCATGCACATCATATTTATCTATCTGTGGATTTGACTTGCTAATATTTTATTCTATGTTAAGAGGGACTGTAATGTAATTTTCCTTTCTCATATTCTTAGTTTTGCTATCCAACTTACTCTGGTTTCATAAAATGAGTTAGGAAGTGTTTTTTCCTTTTCAAGTCTATAGACGAGTTTATATTAAATTGGTTTTATTTCTTCCTTAAATGTTCGGAAGAATTCAGCAGCAAAATCATTTGTACATGAAAATTTCATTAAGGGATGGTATTAAATTACAGACTCAATATCTTAAATAGACATGGAACTATTCAGATTTTCCATATCTTCTTGTATGAAGGTGTTTCCCTAGGATATTGTCCATTTCTTCTTAATTTTCAAATGTTTTGGCACTAATTCATAATACCTCATTTAATATCCTCTAATATTGTTATTTGTATGACCTACATTGATGCTTTCTTTTTTCATTCTTTTTTAAAAATATTATATTTATTTACTTTTAGAGAGGGGGAAAGGGAGGGAGAAAGAGAGGGAGAGAAACATCAATGTGTGGATGCCTCTCACAAATCCCCAGCTGGCGACCTGGCCCACAACCCAGGCATGTGCCCTGACCGGGAATTGGACCAGCGACCCTTTGGTTCACAGGCCGGCACTCAATCCACCGAGCCACACCAGCCAGGGCTCTTTTTTCATTCTTGATATTGGTAATTTGTGCCATCTCCGTCTTGATCTGTGCTAGAGGTCTTATTTTCACTAATCTTCAAATAATCAACTTTTGGTTTTGTCAATTTCGTTATCAATTTCATGTAGTAATCTAGCTAACTTCTCTCATTACTTCTAGCAGTGTGCCTTTCAGGGTATGGTGAGACTTTTAATTATCTATACCACTTTATGGTTATCAGTTTACTCACATTTTCAAATTTTCTTGAGCCAGTTTTGATAATTAATAACTTTATAGAAAACTACACATTTGACCTAAGTTTTCAAATTTATTGTCAATGTTTTATAAAATATTTTCTTGTGATTTAAGTTATACTTTCTTTGTTGTTCTGAATACTATTTGTCTTCTTTATTTTTCTTCATTACTATTCCCAGAGGATAGTTTATCTGGGTTTTTTTCCCCCTCTTATCTAATTATTCTTTATCTTCCATTTCATTTATTGATGTCCTTGTCTTTAATTTTTTCTCCCCTCTACATTCTTTAGGTGATTCTTTTTCTCTTTCTCTGAAGCCAGATTATCTGAGGCCTAATCTTGACCCAGCTATTTACTAGCTAAGTAATCCTGGAAGCATTTTGAAATTTTTTTTTGTGTTTCCAATCAATGAAATGGGAATAATGATACTACTTACACATGGGTTTATTATGAGTTTATATATACAAACACTTTAGAACAGCAATTGGTATATATTAACTACTCCAATGTTAGCTATTATTAGTATTGCCATCATTAGCTGCAGTAGTACAACTACCACCACTACTATTATTACTACTACTATTTTTGAGTTGAAGTCAACTCATTTGATTTCTATATTTTTTTTCTTAATGCTTTTGAGGTCATAAATTTAGCTATAAAGTCTACTTCACAGGTATCCCTCATATTTTGATATGTGTGGTATTTATATTATTGTTCAGTCTGTAAATTTTGAAATGCCCATTATTAGTGCCTCTCAATGTTATTGAGGATTGAATTTTTAAAGTTTATAATATAGAAATTTTAAAACTCTGTTCATGATATAAACTGTTTGAAATTTATTAAGGTTCTCTGTGACCTAGTATCAAGCCAATTTATGTAATTGTTCCATGTGTACCTGAAAAATGTTTTTGTCTTTATTAATGATTTGTATACATTTATATACTTGAATAAAATTAATAATTTTTTGCTTCTAAGTTTCTATAGTCTTGGGTTTTTATAAATTTTAATAGAAGTATATTAAAATTTTTCACGTTAATTATGTAGTTGTCAATTACTTCTTGAAATTGTGTCAGTTTTTTGTCTATTTACTGGCTGTTTTTGATGATTATTTCCTTTTATTTCCTCTTTATAGTAGATAGTTCCTCTTATTAGGGAGTATCCTTTCATTTTTTTTCTTTTTTTTAAAAAAAACCTATTTTGTCATTTGTTAATACTTTACATCAGCTTTATTTTGATTAATTTTCACCAAGGAACATCTTTTAAAAATTACGGTAAACTATACATTGAATAAAATGTCCATCTTAACCATTTTTAAGTGTATAGGTCAGTGGCATTAAATACATTAGCGTAACTGTGCAACCATTACCACCATCCATGTCCAGAACTTTTTTCATCTTCCCAAATTGAAACTCTGTATTTATTAAATAACCCTCCCTTCCCCACACAGCCCCTGGCAAACACCGCTTACTTTTAGTCTCAATGAATTTGACTACTCTAGGTACCTCATGTAAGTGGAATCCTAACAGTCTTTGCCCTTTTATGACTGGTTTATTTCACTTGGCACAGTAACTTCAAGGTTCATCTATGTTGTAGCACATGTCCTAATTCCCTTCCTTTTATTTATTTTTATTTAATCTTTACTGTATTTTTTTTTCGATTACCATTTAGTCCCCTTACACCCCCAACCCACCAGCAATCACCACACTATTGTCCATGTCCATGAGTACTTTTCCCCTTTTGCTCAAAAATATGTAATGCTTCATGAATTTGCATGTCATCCTTGTTCAGGGGCCATGCTAATCTTCTCTGTATCATTCCAACTTTTTGAGATGACACCCAGTTCACTCAGGCACACCAGTCAGGGCTCATTCCCATTTTAGTATAAGTGCTGCCAAAGTGAGCACTTTCCTTACTTTTTAAGGATGAATAGCCCTGGCTGGTGTAGCTCAGTGGACTGAGCGCCAGCCTGCAAACGGAAGGGTCAGGGGTTTGATTCCCAGTCAGGTCACATGCCTAGGTTGTGGGCCAGGTCCCTGGTAAAGGGTGCACGAGAGTAACCACACATTCATGTTTTCCTCCCACTTTCTCCCTCCCTTCCCCTCTGTCTAAAAATAAGTAAAATCTTTAAAAAATGTAAAAAAAGGCTGAATAGTATCCCACTACACACACACACACACACACACACACACACACACACACACACCCCCACCCCATCCCCCCACCACCACATTTTGTTTATACATTCATTCATTGATAAACACTTGGGTTGCTTCCACCTTTGGCTACTGTGAATAATAATGTTATGAATATGAGTGTACAAATATCTATTAAAGTCCCTGTTTTCATTTCTTTTGGGTATATATCCAGAAGTGAGAAATATCTTCTTTAGTCCTTTTATTTTCACATTTTCTAATGTGTATGTATTTAAGATTAAGTTGTAAACACTATATACGATAGCTAAGTTTTTGTGTCCTTTTCTTGTCTGTTTTTAAAGAGATTAACTTTATTTATATTTATCTTTTTTTATAGTATGACATCTTATTTCTTTGATTTTACTGTTTAGACTCCCTTCTTTGTTTTTTCTTCTTCTTTCCTTTCAATATTACCTTCTTGTCTTCCTCTGTCCACTGTTGTATGAAAGCAGTAGACTTTATTGCAATTATTTTAGTGATTATCTTTAAATTTGAGATATACCTACTTCATAAATTTTTCTAACAAAATTTCAAAGTATGCAGTATTTCTGTCCTCTTTCTACACAAGACATGGACCTTCTCATTTTACCTTTGAACATCCTATCTTTTATTATTATTTGCTCTTGTTTTCGCTGTCTTAACACAAAAATAGTTTTTTAACTAATTAAATTTACCAACAGCTTTGATCAACTTGAGTTCCCATTATTTTGTGGCTGTTACTATCCGTCTTCAATTTTCTTTTTACTAAAGAATAACCTTTACTCATCTTTCATTGAGGGTCTATGAGAGGTAAACTCAGTCTTGTGTAACTGAATATGTCTTCATTTTGCCCTTGTCTTCATTATCTGGCATAAGATTCTATTTTGGTTCATTATTTTCCAATTATTACATGAAGATATTAATCATTTATCTTTTGACATTCAATTTGCTGATAAAAAGTCTGCTTTGAATATAATTGTCATTCCTTGGAAATAATCTATATTTTATGACATCATTTACATTTTTTCCTTAATTTTTGGATACTCTGATGTTTTCCTACAATGCCTAAAAGCAAAGATTTTCTTAATTTATCCTACTTGACACTCAGCAGGCACATTTTACCTGAGAAATAATATCTTTCTTCATTTGCAGAATATTCTGAGCTCTTCAAATACTCCAAAATTCTTCTCAAGAATTATTCCCTCCATTCTCTACCCAAAACTCCTATGAGACATACCTACATCTTCTGTTCCTTTTAACACCTGTCATATATATGATATATATGTATGTTTCTAAATCTCTCATCTGTTTCTCTGTCACTCTGTGCTACATTCTGATGAATATCTCAATACAAGCTTCCAAATCACGTTAGTCAACTATGTTCATGGTCTACCATCTCAGCCACTGCTTTTTTATGTCAATGATTGTATTTTTCATTTCAAAAATGTATAAATGATTTTTATATCTACCTGCTTTTGTTTCTTAATTTCTTCTTTTTTTTGAAAAGGTTATGTCTTCATCTGTCTCTTCGAGTACCCTTAAACATATCTAGTTTAGAGCGTTATATAAAATAATTTCATGCTTCAACTATTGATATGTTGGTTATCTGTTAGCATTAATATTTCTCTATAGTTTTAGAGTTTTGGCTTGATGACTAATTTTCAGTGTGTAGGGGTATTATGTTTTTTCTCTTTTTCCCCCATATTATGTAGTTATTCTACTTTATTTTCTTACTTATTGACTTTAGAGAAAAGGGAGAAGGGGGAAAAAGAGAAAGAGAAACATCAATTTGTTACAGTTTTTCTGCATTCATTGGTTGCTTCTTGTTTGTGCCCTGACCAGAGATCAAACACACAACCTTGGCATATCAGATGACACTCTAACCAAATGAACTACCTAGTTAGGGTTTATCTTATAGTCATTTTAAAGATGCTTTCACCCGGTGACCCAGTTTAGGGTGAGTTTCTACAATCACATCTCAGAGTTTCTATTCCATGATACTACCAGGGATGGCATAAGTTCAGTATAGAATCAATGGTGGTGTAGTTTAGTGCAAGGTCACAAGGCTGCGGTTTTGAGTTCCTACCTCCATAAACGTTCATGTTGCTAAACACTGTAGTCCTGGATGGCAGTCAGCAATAGCTTTATTTTCTGCATGTTCTGCTATGGGAGAAGGGGCAATGATTAGGTCCTGGTTTTAAGTAATAAGCCTGTTAGTATTATAAGTCGTTCCAATTTTTGCTTATTTATTTGTCTCTTAGAAAAGAGCCAAATTCCTGGAAATCTGAATTTCCAGACCTGGAGCCTAATAGGTCCAATCATTCAATTCCTTTCATTATTCTGTATTTTTGTGCCATTTCTTGACCACAGAAATGTTTAACATGTTTTTGAGGTTATCAATATCCTTTCAGTTCTCTCTCTGTCACATTTTGTCTATCACTATATGTGTGAGCAGAGTAGATATATAAAAGTTGAACTCACTAAGCCATTTGAACCAGAAGCTGAAAATACATTTAAAAGATCCACACATAAAAAAAACATTAGACTCTGGACAGGTAGCTCAGTTAGTTAGAGCATCGTCTTGATACACCAATGTTGAGGGTTGGATCCCCAATCAGGAAATATGCAAGAAACAACCAATAAAGGCATCATTAAGTGGAACAAATTGATGCTTTCTCTTCCTCCTCTCTCTGTCTCCCCCCCTCCAATCTCTCTCTAAAATCAATCAATAAATTATTTTTAAAAAACCCTGACCAGTGTGGTTCAGTTGGTTGGTGGTTGTCCTGCAAAGCAAAAGGTCATCACTCGTTCAATTCCTGGTCAGGGCACATGCTTGAGTTGAAGGTCCAGCCCCCCGTCATGGTGCATGCAAGAGGAAGCTTATCAATGTTTCTCTCCTTCTCTTTCTTCCTCCCTTCCCCTCTCTTTAAAAATAAATAAAAATATTTTAAAAACATTTTTTTATAAAGAAAGTCGTGTACTCTTTGATCATTAGCTTGTCTATCCAATGTTGTTCAGGAGATTCATTAACCACAATTAAATATATAAATCTCTGCTGCTACTCACCCTGAAGCATGTTACACAAAAAAAGTCCATATGAGATTAGCTCAATCAATAATAATCACCTACAATTTGGAGTAACTGTCCTTGTGACTTTCAGTATTAGGCTGACATTTGAAATGAACCATTTTCTCTATTCAAAGCAACTAGATACATAAGCTATGTCCCTCTTACCTGAAAACAGGTGGGGAGTCCATGGATTCTCAATTTCAACTACTTTGGATGGTGTCTGACTATTTCTTCAAAATATGCCTCCAGGATACTTTAAGTGTCCCTCAAACCATATTTTGTGTCATCAGGTATCCTACATTCTATATTTTATTTTATTTTTTTAAATTCTCACCCAAGGATATGTTTTTATTAATTTTAGAGAGAGAGGAAAGGAGAGAGAGGGGGAAGTATTGGTATGAGAGAGAAACAATGATCAGGCGACTCTCGTACACACCCCAACAGGGGATGGAACCCACCACCTAGGTATGGGCCCTGACTGGGGATCAAACGCACAACTTTTTAGTGTCTGGGATGACAATCCAAACAACTGAGGCACCCAGCCAGGGCCTACATTCTACATTTTAAATTAAACCAAACCATATGTGTCTTCCAAATACAGCAAAACATGCTAATAAATTACCTAGCCATTTATGCATGATGTGGCAATACAAAGTTAAATTTACAAAAAGTACATATCTTTATAAATATATCAACATGACATATTAATCTATAAAACAAAAATACTGAATTTAAAACTGCCAAAAAATTTGTGATGATCACTGTAAAAAGTCTGAGTTTTTTGCTCCCATATGTCATAATCAGTGCTTTCAATAAAATTTTCAGCCCTGACCAGGTCACTCAGTTACTTTGTACATTGTCCCCATGAGCCACGGTTGCAAGTTCAATCCCTAGTCAGGGCACATACAAGAATCAACCAAAGAATGCATAAATAAGTAGAACAACAAATCAATGTTTCTCCCCTTTCCCCTCCCTCTAAAATCAATACATAAAATTTTTAAAAAATTTTTAAATCAACTTGTTCCAAAAGTATAACATTTGTACCTATAGAATCAAGTGCTTTTATATTCATCACCTATTTATACTTCTACTATCATTTGCACTTGTTGATCTCTCCATATGTCTGGTCTCTAGATGAAATGAAATCAGATGAAAATATAGACTAAGATCATATCTGTCCTGTCCCCATAATGCAAAAGTAGTCAAGTAGGACAGAAAAAGAGATCTCTTCACATACTCAGACTCCACTATTTCACTTTATATTTTCCATCCATCAATAAAGCCTCATTATGATAACAGTGTTTGACCTTTGGCATTTTTAGTATAGTACCTTTTGTCCTAAGATCACAATTTCCTGCCCTGGCTGGTGTGGCTCAGTGGATTGAGTGCCAGCCTGCAAACCAAAGGGTGCTGGTTTGATTCTCAGTTAGGGCACATGCCTGGGTTGCGGGCCAGGTCCCCAGTAAGGGGTGCGTGAGAGGCAACCACACATGGATATTTCTCTCTCTCCGTTCCCCACTCTAAAATAAATAAATAAATAAATAAATAAATAATGAAAGAAAAACTACAATTTCCTCATTACCATTTTTCAATATCACTTCTCAGTC